TTTTTTTTTTTTTTTTTCAAATTAGAGCCGGATGAACTTTTATGTTTACAAGGCGCATCTGTTGTAATGCAAAGCGTATTTGACAAGAAGTTCATCACCAAGACAGTCGCTATGATTCTGGAAGTCAGGATGTGTCTGTAGAACTAGCGGGGCTTCTGCATGTGAAAAAATGGTATCCCATAGGCGTTAAAGTGCTGAATGCTCAGTCTGATCCCCAAGTGGGGACCTGTACTACCAATTTTTAGAGGAAATTCTCTCCCTTGTAGGACAAATTGAAAGGTCAAATTTTTTTAAAACAAAGTCTTCTGCTTATTAACAGAAAAATTTATTTATTTGACAGGATTTTAAGTATGTAGGAATACAAGAGGTAAATTAGCAGCACATATAATTTTTTTTAAATTTATGATCCATTTTGTATGGTCTCAAAGTTGGATGACCTCATTACTAATATTTGTTGTAAAAGTGAAACTTGTTTGCCAACCAATAAACAACTGATTGAGATTTAGAAGATATTGTATTGATGTATGTACTATATTATTTTTGCTTTTCTCGCCATTCTTTCCATTTTCGGTAGATTTGCTAATTCTCTGTAATTCAAATGAGCCATGCAAAAGAAATCATCCTGAAGCAGTGAATAACCTAAGCACAAAATGATACGTTTTTTGAAAACAACATCAACTAGAAAAATGGGATGGGCATGTTTATGTTGGCTTAAACAAGACGTATAAATTTTTATTAAGCAGGTTAACTTACAGGTTACTGTGTGCTTTTTTTTATATATAAACCAGCTGCAGTCCCTGTGTTTATTTTAAAAGCTAGATTCAATTCAATATTTAAATATAACATATTTAGGAAGGAGTTGTATTATTCTCTCTGTTTAACGTTTCATTATGGTGGAGAAAGCAAGAAATTTAAATTCACTCAGTTGGCTATCAGCTCCAAAAATGACAAAAGAAAACCTGTTGTAAAGGGCAATGTAAGACAGCTTTTCTGCTAGGTTTTTTTGTTGTTTTGTTGTTGTAGTTGTTGTTGTACTTAAGGAGGAAATAGAGGATTTTTCTAGATCTCCAGTTATTGCAGACCTTTTGTCAGCAGTGTCTAAGCATGGAGCTCCTTTTAAAGCATCGCTAAAAATGAACTTTCCAATTTATAACTTTTCCTCTAATATATCTTGGGGCTTTATTTTTCAAATTTTACACACATTCCAGCCTATCAGTGAATATCTAAATCAAGACGAGAAAGAGTAGCTTAAAGAATGGTCATATATTATCCATATATAATTTGAAAATGTATGATGAAAGTTGTGCTAAGCCAGAGTATATCTTAATCTTTATATCGTCTCAAAATATTTTATATACCATTCCTTTTTAGTCGTTTGTATGTTTTTTTAAAGTCTGTATTTTTTTAAAGTTGGAGGAGAACCAGAAGCTTTAGGAGTCATTATGTTTCCTCATACCACACTGTGGTGATATTTAGCAGCTTTCAGTGAAAGAACTCCCTTTGGACATGATTAAAGTAACACCAGAAATGCACATTTTGTCTGTGGATTAGGGTTGATTTGACAAACAGTAATCTGTATGAAAGCAACTCCATCAATAAGAAGATAGCTTCACAAACAATGAGGAAACTACCTCACTTCTTCTTGCTGATTTTCAGATATTGCTACCTCCCTGCTTGTGATCTTTTGTGTTTTATTGTATGGAAAATTCTAAGTGGCCACCCCAGCTCTACCAGCAAACCAAGTTTTAAAAGATCACTTAAATGCATAAACTGGTGCAGAAGACCGTTTAGTACCATCAACTACTGCCAAGCTCTTGAATCAAGATGGAAGGGGAGATTTTTGACCTTTCATACATCATAATTGGTATGCTTTCAGAGGGAATTAAGATCCCAAAGATTTTTGCAGAGAGAGAGAGATTGTTCCTTCAAATTTTATGTGACTCTAATGAAAACAAAACAGTGGATACAATTAATTGTGTATACCTTTCAACATAAATATGTATCTATATCTAACAAATATCCATTAAGTCCTGTTTATACTAGCAAGTGTTGAATTCTCAAATTTAAGTTTTTTTCTCACATGTAAAGCTACTAATGAATAATTTTAAATTTTTTCTTCTTTGTATTACCTTTTGTTGACTCTCTTTTTTCAATACCTCGTGACATTCATGAGCTATTTATCTACATATTTCCGTGTATTTATCTGATTTTTCATTGAGAAGTAAATTTCCATCCACCAGTCGCAATACATACAAGCATATTATTTAGCCCACTAGAAGCAAAAATTGTACCACTGAAACATACCAATTATTGGTCCCTAGTTAAAAAATTATATAATGTTTTACACTTCAATTTTTTTTTTCTTTTTTGAAGTCTAAGTCACAGCATACTTTATCAGGACACTAGCAGATAGACTTCATGTTTAACTGATTCTAAAGCTCATTGTTCTTGCTTTTATTTGTAATTGAAAAAATTTATGAAGAAATCCGAATTTTGTAAAGGAGAACTTGGTTGGAATTTCAAAACTTTATGGGCATCCTTCCTAGTTTCTACTCTGTTACATTTGAACATATTAGAAGTAAATAATACAGTACACTAAAAGAATCATAATGGCACAGAAGAAATGGAACAAAAGCAATTATTTTGAAAGAAAAATAATCAGAAAAATGTATTAAACAAAAACCGGTAGTTGAAATGCCATTAACTTCCTGTAAAAAGTTCATGATGACTCTAAAATTAAAACATAATTTGTTGGCTGTATTTTTAAGATTCCCATTATAATTTAACAGCATTCACATATTGAAAATTAGATTTTTAAATTTTAACTTACTTGTAATTTCATTTGGCAACATTTTTCATAAAAATGGAATTAAATATATAAAAGAATAAGTAAAATTTATAAAGTGTCCCTGTAACTACTTTTAGGCAATGTCTTCAGGTTTTTCTCCTACATATGTTCAAATCCACTGACTAGTTTACTTACAGATGGACACTAAAAACATTTGTGACTGACCTTCTGTTACTGTATAGACCAAAAAGAATAGGAAAAGTAGTTCTGGGTTGTCTAATGATCAACTTTAAATGAAACTATATTCACCCTTTATTAATGAATATTTAGGTTTTAAAAACTGTCCATCAGTATCGTATTGAGGTACTACTACTACTTGGATTCTTTGTGCAAAACAAACAAACAGTTGAACTTCAAATGCACGTCAATTTGAATTGAGAAAATGGGGAAAAAATCCAAATTCTTATCTGGTACTAAGCATATATGAAGACATTGACATCAATGTCCTCTAACGAAAATATTGAAATAACAGTCAGTATGTATGCACCTCTCAGTCTATTGTAAATCAAGATATTAAGGTGTAATTAGTTCATTTTTAGTAACTCAATTCATCACATAAATAATTATTGTGGATTCCTAAGTTATACTTTGTATCTTGCTCTACACATGGAAAAGAGGATACAGGAACAAAACCAAAGAAGCAGTATGGCAAAATAGTTTATGAATTCCATATATGAACCTGTTTTGAAATGATAGATTCAGTAACCCCAACACTAAATTCAATCTTGCAAATATGTTTGTCTTAATCCCTTTGAAAAATATTATTAGACATCTACATTTTCATTTGCAGCCAGTAGAAGTTAAAAGAATTGCTAGCTGGTTCTTTCCTTGTTAGGCCATAAGAGAAACATTTACTATTTGCTAATTTTTCCAGATTATGTCTCTTTTCTTTAAAAGGGAAATCAATATTTAACTTTCACCTATACACTTACATACCATTATGATTCCTTTTATTTAAAGCTTTCAGAAGAAATAGCATTTTTACAATTATTACAAACTTCATGTTTTAGTATAGTTTTACGTATTCTCATTTGATACAGTTATTATTTCTTTTTTAAAGAATTAAAAATCAGCACTTCCTTAATGTCAAGCACTGTTAAATTACTCTTCAAATATCATGATTTCAAATATATTTTGATGTTTCTTCCTGTCTCTTAATAGTCTGCTAATTTCATTTTTCTTATTTGATAATGTGTGTCCCACTGCAGTATTTCAAAGGTAAATAGCAAACTGATTTATCTAGAGAAGTTGAGGAAGACTGTACATGAACAAAGCCTGTATTGTGATAAACAAGTCTTTTCAACTGACACTATGAACAGAAGAACAGAACCAAGCTGGCAAATTTATGTTGAGGTGACAAGACCTAAATTAGAATTACAGAGAAAATATTTCTGGGGAAAAAATCACTTATGTGATTAAAAAATCTTTAGCACTGCACCAAACACTACTGATTTGTTATAAAAGTAAAGTTGCAGACTCCCATAATATAATTTTCATCCTGTTAATTCCAAGGAAACTCGAAGCACCTTTAGCACTCCTTAGATATGTCTTGTCTAGCTATCCTTGTCTTAAAAGGAATATCAATATTTTGTAAATGTTTCTAAAATATAACTATTTTGCCTCAAATCACCTTCACTCTCTAATCCAGTGACTACACCAACACAGTGAATGCTACTAGTAGCTTTGTACCTTTAGAGCTTTATGAACCTTTCTAATAAACATTAAATTAATACTGTATTGGAGTTATGTATATTCTGCAGATAATTCATAGCTAGGCAATATTCATATCACAAGAAAATTCATTAAGAATGAACAAATAACTACACAACTGAAAATATTACCTCTTGAGTCCTCTAATTATTGTAGTCAATTCAAAAAATTCTATAGATGATTGTACACACAGTGGATTCCAAAGTACTCCAGAATGTAAATGCATCTAAAAAATATTCTCAACAT